AGTTGTTTCTGGGGGAGGAAGGGAGGAAAGAGGCACAGCTGCACAAGTTGATTTCTCATTCAGCCATGGGAGAGGTCAGTGTCCATGGCAGCAGATTGCTTAGACTGGCAAAACTGCTCCTCATCTTAGCCCCTAGACTTGAGCTGCTGCGGATACCACTGGGAGATGGTGGACTCATCACACAGCAGCAGTTCCCACCTTCACCTTCCTCGCTTCTTCGTGGCACCAGGAAGATCCATACCCCAAGAGCAGCCCGGGCATGAGAATGGGAAAGAAGAGAGAGAGACCCTGAGCCTCACTCACTGCCTGTGAAATCGCTTCTCAGCTTAGAGCACTACTGGCGAGCCAAGCGAGCCCTTCCAGTCTCATATTTCTCCCCAGAGTTTGCTCCAAGGCCTCATGCAGCAGGACCAGGTTGCGTCCCCACCTAACCAAAGCCCCAGACCTCTCCTGCTGCTGAGGAAGAACTGAATTTGCTACTTGGGGATAAGGACAAATACACATTTAATTATTTTGCTTCCATCCAGGATTAAAGCCAATTCTACCGACACCACTGAATAACCTCAGCTTTCATCTTTACCGCCATGATGCAATATAACAACTGATGCTGTTCTCCTTTGCATAAATAAGCATTCTTGAGTTGAACAAGGAAACTGAATATAATGCTTCCCCAGGGAGCTGAAGGATGGGTGGAAGGGGAGTCCATGCTCTTGTTCACAGAAGCTTCCGTCCCTCTGGATAGAAACAATGGACAGAAGTGACTGTGCAAGAAACTGAGTACACGGAGCCCCAAAATATGTGCAAATCATATTTGGTATTAAATTTAGACTGTAAGGTCTAGTCTGAAGCATCTTTCTTTTTGAGGAGGGGAAAAATTAGGTAAGAGAAAAGGAACAGAGAAAGCTTACTACACTAGCAGCGGAATATAGCCATCTTGCTGTGATAAGGTGACATTAAAATGTTTGAAACAAGTAATGAGAAAAACAATTGCCACTTGCAAAAGCAAACAAGAAATAGCCATTTTTATATATGAAATTGTAATTAGGTTTGTATAGTTCAATTGCTGGAAAATAAGGGTGGCTAACACAACAGAAATCTGCTAGGAAAAGCATTTTCTCTCCAATTGGCCTCATAATTAGACTGACACTTTAAAACATTTGTTTCCTATAACATTTTATCATTAAACTGATCTCTAGCTACTTTCTGTGATATAACTATCATCCACTTGTTGCAAGAGCAATAACATTTATGAAGAAAAAGTGAAGGTGAAATATGCCCTACTGCAACTGGGACTGCAGAATGTCTATCTATGATTTAAAATTAATTTCGAAGGCTTAAATGTGATTATGTAATGCCTTAGCCTTTCCTGGACTTTCTAAAGAGTCATGTATGTCACGTACAAATCAATTCTATGTCAAAGAGCTCAATAATATAACACAGGTTTTGTAACTATAACCTGTTCTTTGTATGAATCTGCCCTCTAGTTCAATGGCAACAACATTGTCCGCAAAAATGATATGTATTGAGAAAGTTTGAGAGATCTATCTTTTTCTTTATTAAGTCAACATTATTTCAAATAGAATTTTGTAGTTTTTCTCTTTTGAGTCTTGAAAAATAACCCACCGTTTGAAGCCCCAATTTTAGACAGTGTGAAGACAAAACGTAAGAAGCTTCAAGAATTCACTAAAGTCCTTCCAGGTGTTCATCACACTTCTTACAATACCAAAAAAGAACTCAAACGCAATTCCTTGGGTTCCACTTATCACCTTGGACACTCTCCTGTCTTTTGGCTAGGCCTGTATACATAACTAGTATCAAATAAGACTGTAGCCATAGCAGGCGTTCTCCCCGGTACATTTTTCTTTAGTTTTTATAATGTAAAACTTAGAGGTTACATGAATGGAGAACAGACCACGTCACATAAGGTAATACACGGTGGTAAGGGTGAATAGGAACATGCCAACTCCCTTTCCCAGATTCCCACTTGCTTCTTAAAATTAGGATATGCCTCTGGAGGCAGAGATCAAAAAGATACCACATGCAAATATGTACAGCTTTGCCCTAGGATCTCCACAGAAAATGCACGGTGAGCCCTGCTTTAGCTCTAGATGCAAAAGTTAATGAGTATGAGGATTCCCCCCCCCCCGAGGAAGAACAGAACTCATGGCAGATGCGTTTCCATAAATAACTTAGTCAGGAAATTAGTAAATTAGTGCTGAATGGTCGACTGGGAATCATGTATGCATTCATTGAGTAAATAATTATTTTAAAAATGAAGTATTTAGAACTCCCTACTGTTTGAAGTTAGCAAGCTTGCTGTTCACACACAGCTCTGAATGAAGTTACCTTGCTCCAATTTCCTGTTTTCCAGCTAGCACATGGGCGGAGATAACATTTTCTTGCAGGATCAGGCTTTTTCATGTGCTGACAGTGAGATGTGTTCCTGCTGCTGCACTCCACGTGTCTCCAGAAAGCCCCCATTCCACAGGTGGTAGAGCACTGCACAAGGGTGAGAGGAAAGCCCAGGGGCAAACTCAACGTTAGTAAGTCATTCTGGAAACAATCCAGGAACCTAAATATAAATATCTAGAGCTATTTTAGATGACCTAGTTTATCTGAGATACTCAAAAGAAGATTTCAAGTTCACCTAAGTCTTACTTAAGGTTCTGAAGGGGGTCTTTTGTTGCTTTGTTAAGAAAATAGCAATTCTGATTTATACTATGCACTGCTCTTCTTTGGCAGACTCCGGCTTACTGAGACATTCTGAATCTGTACCAGCTGTTCCACTGTTTCCTTCTGTGATCTTCAGGGATCCAAGGCAAAATGTCATTGCATCCAATCTTCAGCACTGTTCCCTCTCTATCCCTAATAGCGCTGATGAGATATTCAGCAAACTGAGTGCAAGATGCTGAAAATCCAAAATAAAATATGTGAGAGACTTGGGAAAACTGTGCAGGAAAAGGATTTTTGAAATTCTGAATTCCAAGAGTGGCTAAGTGTTCCCAGCATTTGGGAGGATTTTAGTGTCTGAGGTAAGAGAACTGATCATGCCAGTCCAGATCCCAAGGGTGCACACTCTTCACCAAAAAAATCATATCATTGTATTCTGAAGCAGGAAGAGGTGAAAAGTGGCTGGAGATACCCATTTACCTTTTTCTCCCTTAAAAAGGGAGGGACAGTGAACTACATGCATAGAGTCAAATCCAACACACGCCAAGCAGCTTGTAGCTGGCATGAGAAACAGCATAAATAATCTTGGATTAAGTCAGCAAAATGATGAAGAGAGCAACTGCTATTGTGTGGTTTGAACTCCCTACGCGGAAGTGGGAGAGTTAAACAGGGAAAGCTGAGTAAGTGTCTTTGGAAAGATAAGGAAAGCTAAGCTGAAGCTAAGATAGGGGAAAAAAAAAACCATTGAAGACATGGAGCTGTTACCAGATTCAATCAGAGAAATGGAAAAATGGTTAATGGTCACAACAAAGAATTTTTGAAAAATTGCACATTATAAAGAATGTGAATCTGCCAGGCCTCTGCAGCATGCCATCTCTAGCTTCTGAGATCCGTGGGACATCTGTCCAAGAGGCCACAAAGATCCTGTTAAATGGGGCTGCATACCACTGTTCAGTTTTGCATAGTCACATATCTGTCCAAGACAACTTGTCTGTTCAAGAGGATGGACTGTCCTTGTCTTGGTGGCTGACTGATGGCTCCCCCCAGCCCGGCTATAACAGTCTGACAACACCAAGACTTTATTGAAGGGATGCTTCATGAGATTGAAGGATGATTCATGAGAAGGCCAAAGATAGCTCCAGGGATGATGCTGGGCAGATCATACTTATAAGGCTTTATGTTCTTGTCTGAGGGAGGTGAAACACAGCAGGATTCTTTCAAAAATTGTTGTTTGCAGGTACAGAGCCAAGAGAGAAAGGCATGATGCTGTAAATAGTACTGGGAGAAAGCTTTAGCTTTCTTGACTATTGTTTCATGTTACATAAACGAGACCAATTGCTCTGAAGTTCAGGAAGACTTATTGCTTTTCCCTTTTGTCATTCAGGAACCAAGACTTCCTCTTGTCACAGTAGATGTCTATTACAGAGGGAGGAAGTGAAGGTGACTTTTCATGACCAATAACAGAGGTGCAGAATGAGCAGAACTGGTGGTAAAGGGTATCTTTGGTACCCAGAAAGCTCTTAGAAAGGGAAAAGCGACAGCCCAGAATGACCTGGGAAGTAGTGGGAAAGAAGTTAAAAGTTACAGACAGAGACACCAGTGTCAGTGAGACACCAGTGTCAGCGGGCACTGTTTTGCCCTACTCTAATCAGTGCGCTCCCTTGGGAGGTAAGTGTCAACAGTGTTACGGGACATGTCACACCAATCCATTTCAGTGACTATCACTATTCTTGGGCAATATTTATTTACTAGTATAGACGCATCCTAAGGAGCAAAGAAATGTCAGAATATTGGCAGTCAGTAAAAGAGAAAGATAGAGAGTAGAGCAAGAGATTCAACTAGGTAGATGCAACAGTCTTGAAATATCAATGCCTTGGAGAGATGTCATCTAAAAACGGGCACAAAGTTTTACTAAGGCCAGGTAAATAAAAAGAGCAAAAATAAAGTCAGGCAATTGTAGACTAAAAATGAATTAAAAGTAATGAACAATAACAAAAGGTTCTGTGAATGTTAGAATCAAGGTGTGGGGAGGAAATACACAACTTTTATTTTATGAGAAAGATAATAGCTGACTTATTTACAGAATCACAGAATGGTTGAGGTTGGAAAGGACCTCTGGATGTCATCTTGTCCAACCCCCCTGCTCAAGCAGGGCCACCTAGAGCCAGTTGCCCAGGACCACATCCAGATGGTTTCAGAATATATCCAAAGACAGAGATTCCACAAATTCTCTTTTTCACCACCTTTTCTTCTTCAAACTTGGAAAAAAAAAAGTTAAATGTGCCAGGCTTCACATAAAGTTAATTTTAACAAGAAACAATAGCTTGAATGAGAATAGCAAAGGATTACTAAAACACTAAAGAATAGTAAAGTAAGTTAGATGCATTAAGTATCCTTAAACGGATTTCATCAGTTCTGTGAAACCTTACCTCAATATTCATTCAGGTGTTCTTGAATAATCTTTGAACTGTTGAAAATTATTTTTTAAAATACATTGGGAAAGTCCCAGACGATTAGAGAGGAACATCTTTCAAGTTATCTTTAGGAAAAGAAAAAGGCAGATCTGTGGACTAATAGAACACTTCACCTAACTTTACTTCACAAGAAGATACAAAAGCAAATTATTAAAAAATCAAGATCAAAATGGTAAATACTAACAAAGATGATAAAGCAATAAAACAGCCCACATGGACCTATCTAGAACAAATTATTGAAGTCAATCTAATGTCAGGTTTCTGAGCAACCTGATCTACTTGAAGGTGGCCCTGCTCATTGCAGGGTGTTTGGACTAGATGACCTTTAGAGGTCCCTTCCAACCCAAACCATTCTATGATTCTATGACCCTTCTCTGACAGGTGTATCTGGCTTAATGAAACTAGAGAGCCAGCTGATGTGATGCACTTTGACATCATCTCATAGAGCATTCTTCAAGCAAACGATGGAAATATGGTCTAGGTGAGATAATTACAAGATTGGTGCACAGCTAACTAAAAAACTGTAATAAAGTAGTCTTCAGTGATTCAGTGTCAAAACGAAAAGACATTTCAAATATGGTCCTGCAGGGCTCTGTCTGTAGCCAAGCTCTCTTCAGTGTTTTCATTAACTAACTGAATGATGAAAGGCAGCATGCACTTATAACATTTGCACATGACGCCAAGTTGGGAGAGTTGGCAGGAATGTTGGAGGACACAATCTGAATTGAAAAACATCTCACCAAGTTGAAAAATTGTAAGAAAACAGTAACCTGAAATTCAAAAACATATGCAAAATCCTACATTTAAGGAAAATTTTTATCCATATATATACACACACACACGCATGCACACACATACATACACACCCCAAACAAAACTGAGAACATCTGCTGATCTAGAAATACTGTATTAAGGGATCTGGGGTTTACAATGGACTACAAATTGAATAAATCAAAGTGGGACGGTTACAAAACAAGACAAATCTCATCTCAACATTCACAAAGAGGGTCAATGATAGTAATTATTCCATTTTATTTGCCAGATGTCAGCTGGGGCCATAATGAACATCGCTGATGAAGGAATATATGATGAAACCGAGCAAGTCCGCAGGAAAACAACAAAGTCACCAGATATTTAGAAAACACAAGGAAAATCTGAAAAGAACCAGATTGTTTTGTTTAGAAAACAAACCCAAAAACAGTTATTAAAAAGACAATTATCTTCCATGGTCGCATATAAAAAATATAATTTTCATTTTCAGTGCAGAAAATCTTGGTTATGTATAAGGAAAATATTTCTAATGCAGGTAATGAATGACAAGGACAGACTGTAGCATTTCTGTACTATAGACTTCTGTTCAGGATGTGCTGGGCTTGGAAGCACAACCTTTGCCTGGACTTTTCTTTCAGGCTCTTTCACCCAAGCAGATCTAAATGAAGGTCTTTGGGCATGTGCAGAAGGAAATGCTTCACTTGTCCCACTTGAACATGGGAAGCTAAAGGCATTCTTACCTGGCCACGGGAAGGCACAAGATGAAACTTCAGATTGCCATCAGGAGTGCATGTCCTGAACAACTGCTGATGTGGTGGTGACAGAGCAGAGGTGTTACTCACTGGCTGCATCCAGACAGAGGGCACCAACAGGATCTTGGTGGCCTAGCTGTGCCTCCACTGCCGTGGGATACACTAAGTCATCCCTTGCTGTCCTTTTTACCCTGCTTTTCTGCATTTCCATTAATTTGCATTATTCCAGGCAGACCCGAGAGCAGACAGGTACAGAGAAACAGACCTTTGATGTCCTTCTCCATCAATACTGAGACACAGAGGCAGATCAGCGCAAGTAGTTTTCCAGATCTGGACCTTTGGCTGTACTGATTGGCTTGGTTAAAAAAGTCCATCAGAAAAATGAGGTAACTTGTTCAGATACCAAAGTCTCTCACTTTAGGTATCATGATTTGAAGAATATAAAATCCATTAGCATAAAAAGAACTCTGTTTACATAAAAATAGAATTTTACAGTGGGAAGGATTTTAAATAGAAGTTAATTCTATATTGTCTTATTATAGTTGCTAGAATTAGGTGGTTGCCCCCTCACCAGCCCTGACCCCACAGAAATTACTATCTCAGGCCACAGCAATCTAACAGCACAGAAACCTAACTGTCAAAAAGCCTGGTGCTAGGTATTGGTAAAAGAAAGTCAATAGCAATATACAAAGAATAGTAAGCACTTTTCTGAGGCCATAGAAAACTGCAATCTATATTACTCCTGCACAGAAGAAATTACCCAAGTATTATAAACATTGAGTAATGACCAGAGATCAGGGAAAACTGGGACAAGTCATCTTGCCATCTTTAAGACCAAGTATCTTCGAGATGCTTTACACCTCAAAAGAGTTTTCAAACTCCCTGTACTTGTTTAATTTACTCAAACAGAAAGAGCTTTTGAAAGTGAGTATTACAAGATGTTAACACCTGTTTTGATTGAATGTCATTACCATTAGAAATTAAAAAGTTCATTTTGGCACAGCCATTAATGAAGATAAAATAACTGTTCATTTCTATATTCAAACAAGACATAGTATAACACTATTATCAGCTGCTGTATCCAAAGATACTGTACAACCACAACCACTGATGATTCTAACTTCTATGCCAACCAGACAAAATGCTTTTACTTTACCACTGCTACAACCCAGTTCCAATATATGATCACTTAAACTTCAAAAAAAGGTGCAGAACTCCATGTTACAATGTCTCCCCATGGACATGTGCTGGACAAATTATGAACCCCGGATATACCAGTTTAACTTTGGACTAATATTCTTATCTTTGCTTTGTAGACTCAAACTGGTTTTACCAGGCAGAATGCTGCTCTGAGTTCGGACATATTTGCTTAATGGTGGATACAAACACCGATAATGGGATGAGATAGAAAGGCACCACAAAAACCTGTTATGTTAATAGCCAACTAAAAATAATTTTAAGTATCCATGTTATTAATGCGCTTTATTCAGTAATAAAGCTAGCTTACCTACATGACCCTGGTCACATGCTAAGTTAGAAAACACACATAATTTAGAGAGAAATGATATGCAAGTGAAGGTTAGAACATAATAGCACATCTACAGCTAACTTGTGTTATGTATTTATTTGGAAATACAAGCATAGTCATTTGGTGTCTCCAGGATTCATCTAATAGCTTAGTTTTTTGCTGTGCCCTAAAACAAAACTCTTGAGGTATTTCTGATAATAGTCAAACCTGAATGTCATGTCCCTGGAAGAGTTATGCATAGTTTTGCAGAATCCATAAATACAGACACATTCTATGTAAGCATTAGATACTCCAAGCTACCGATTTTTTTGTGTAACAAGTATTTCATCCGAATGTATGATACTCATTTCAGATAATTGCAACAAACTAAGAAGCTTTATTTCCTCAACAGTGGTTCAGGCAGCTGTTCGCACTCTCCACTCCTTACGAGTTAAAAGTAACTTACCTCACTCCAGTTGCCTACTATCCAGTAGGTATCACCAGGCAAATTGTTGGGTGTTATTAGGTGGCTGTTTGGTGTGACATTTGTCAAAACCCCCTCAGATGTTGCACTTTTGTTCCTGAGAACATGCTCGGGAGCTGATGATTGTGTGCTGGAGGTTATGGTGTCGAGTAGTTTCATTTCTCTTCTGTTGTCAGCCTGGTCTCTCGGTACATGACCAAACACTGTGGGCATTACTGTAACGGATGTTTCTTGGGTAGTTACTTCTACAACAGGCACATCAACTTGCAGACTGGTATAGTTTGCTGTTGTTGGAAATGCCAGTCCTTGTGCTGTTGTGCTAACAGGAAGGAGCATAGAAGGTTCTCGGTGATGAGATACAGGGGTGGGCTGAGAAGTCATGCTCTCATTTTGAAGAACAGGAGAGCCAGTATCTAGGGTTGTGCTCCTGGTTCTGATTTCAGGATTGAGTTCTGTGCTGTAAAGGAGATCGGTTGGTTTCTCACTGCCTCCAACTGACCCATCAATGTCGTCAGATTCTTCGGTTAAGTAATCATAGCTGGAAGTTATTTCTGGACTACTGGTAAAAGAGGAGACAGGAGTGTCCTCACTTCTTAGCACCTCACTTTCTACAGTAGAAACTGCCTCCCTTTCAGAAATATTTTCAGCATGTCTTATAATTTCAGTACTTAAGTTATTATGAAAAGGCCATGAAGTAGTATTTTGGTGTGAACTATTTTCAGTAGAAACAACCGGATAATTGTAAACATCACTTGGTCCAGAAAAAATATTTTGTAATGTTTTGTTGGCTGTTCCTTCTTTTTCTGAGACAGTACCCAAACCAGAGGATGTAGGCAAACAGGGAGTTACACTTTCAGGCTTAGGTGTTTTTGTTGTTGTATGGGACCTCGGGTTTGGTATGGGTATTCTGCGAGGAGGACTCCATTCTGGATTAGTACTTGTTTTTCTGATTATGATCTTTCCTCTTCTGGGTGCCAGGGGGGGTATCAGAAATCTTCCAGCAGAAGGACATTGTTGGAGACCACACAGGGCCTTAGAGTTTGGTCTCTTGGAAGTATCACATGGCTCATCATTATTTTTGGCACAAGTGACATTACGAGTCCTTATTCCACCACCACAAGTAACTGTGCACTGCAAAAAAAAACAGAATTAATATATCTCCCCTCTTCATTCTGCTGCACATATCAATAAAAATAAGTATCAGATAGCACCTGTTTATAATAAAGAAGCATCATTACAAATGATCAATAACAAAGCTTTTCCTGAGGAACAAGCCCTTCATTGTAGTGATGTTCTGCTATCATGGAGCTCTTTCCAAGTTTTTAGAACAGTAAATGTCACCTTGGGGAAACAGCAGTGAAAAAAAGACTACACGATAAAGACAAAATATGAAAGTAGTATGCTAGAATTTGATTTCTTCAGTGAATCACAAAAGTCATTTAGCCAATACCTTTTCCACCAGGGTTATAAAAAACAGACTAAAAACCTGTCATCAAAACCATATCTGACTGGCTCAGTGCTGGCTACTCACAGTGCCACAAACCCGCTGTGATCATCCATGCAGCTCACAGATCCTTGTTGACTTTATGAAATGGATTTTTCATTCAGTCTTAGTGCAACCACCACATGTTGCCAGGGCTGCTAGCATGTCTCTCCTAAATCACAGACTACTGAAAATAATTAACCTATCTGGCTTCTATTTAAATGGAAGCACTGTTGTGTATAAAGGGTGCTGGAAGCTAAGGAGACCCAGTTTTTCTGTGATGTTTTTCATCCTCAGGCCCACAGGCACAGCCATGCCTTCAGCAGCTGTCCCTCCACTGAGGACTTTCTGAAGTTTCAACACACTTCTCTGGTTTGAGGTACTAAGGCTGGATGACTGGTTGGGTATGAATGGAGATATTACATAAAACCTACTGGAAGAAGTCTTCCTAGGCTACGAGGGAGCCTGACCTAATTCAGCTGGCTTAAACCAGGTGCTCACCATGAAGTGATGAACACTCCTATTACCAGCACTTTAAAACCACTGGAATATCTAACCCTTTTTAGAACTAGTCTAGGTCATGGGGCAGTAGAAACATCAGTGACCTTGTGTTACTGGGGCTCTTTCTGTTGTTAACACCTGTGAAATACCATCAGCTCTGCAGCAACAGAAGCAGGGAGGAAAGCAGAGTAACCTCAGAGTAGGTAAGTTCATTAGCTATTCTGTCTGTCCTCCTTGCACTTCCAGCTGTATAGCACATATAAAGTACTCAGAGCTATGCAAGTTTACATCAGCTGCAATTTAGCCTCTGAAGTTACTCAGTAAAGGATTTTGCTTACTGAGGAAGATAGCAACTACTAACACTATGTTGTTGCTTACACAGAAATACAACACACTTATTTTCTCAGACTTTGCCACTTGGATGATTTAGAGTAGCATTTTTGTGAGTTAAAAGGAACATCAAAACTCGTTAACTTTTTGGAATAGTGGCTGTCTCTCAGAATTAGCTTTGAAAATCTGTTTTAGATTACAGCCATGTACTAAAAAGAGATTTCAGAATGGACAAGTCCCCTGACAATCCTGTCATTTGTGCAGGAGAAATAGTCTGGCCTACACTCCCTCCCCAATTTTGACAGGTGTAGAAATTTAATTTGTCAGTAACTTGCAAATATAATCCAACAACACATGAGCACTGGCTGTATTCTGTAACAGCATGCCATTTCTATATAATCGTACTGCTAGCCATGTAATCCCAGTCTATTTTTTCACAGGCAGTTAAAACATGGTGGCTACTCAATTCACAAAAACAATCAACATTCAGTGATGATGGTTTGTGAGCAGCATAAACAATTAATACTGTCACTAAATTCTATCAGTTTATTATCTGAATCTGCTCTCAAACACAATAGTGAGTTTGGTAAAAAAAAAGGAGAAAGAAGGGAGAGAAGTTTTCAAAAAGGAAATAGAACAGAATAGAATATTTTCAGTTGGAAGGGACCTACAATTATCATCTAGTCCAACTGCCTGACCAATTAAGGGCTGACCAAGTTAAAGCACATTATTAAGGGCACTGACCAAATGCATTTTAAGCACTGACAGCCTTGGGGCATCGACCACCTCTCTAGGAAACCTGTTACAGTGTTTGACCACCCTCTCAGTAAAGAAATGCTTCTGAATGTCCAGTCTAAACCTCCCCTGGCGCAGCTTTGAACCATTCCCATGCATCCTGTCACTGGATACCAGGGGGAAGAGCTCAGCACCTCCCTCTCCATGTCCCCTCCTCAGGAAGCTGTAGAGAGCAATGAGGTCGCCCCTCAGCCTCCTTTT